AGATCATCTCTCTGCTCCTTTTTATTTTTTATTTTTTTTGTTGGGTCTCTGTCCCGTTTCTGTTTTTGTTGCCGATCTGATGCTTGAAAGCAAATCGTAATCAGCTCTCCACTTTGCTTACAATATTGAACAAGATCAAAGGAGACCGTGAATTTAGGGTTTGGGCTTTCCCCTCTTCCTCTGTTATTCTATTCGTCAGCTTCCTCTGTCAATGAGAGTTAGGTTTTGTTACAATATTGAACAAGATCAAAGGAGACCGTGAATTTATTGTTTCTTTTTATTGATTTTTGCTAAATAGATTCATGATTAAGTGAAGAACTTTTGGTTCAATTTTGTGAAGGATTTTAAAGTATTTTATTAGTTAAAATCAATTTTTTTTGCTGAATAATTTTTCGAAGTGAGCAATTTGAAGATATATATATATATATATTTTGTGGACTTGCGCTTGTAAGACATCCCACTATCATCTCTTCACTTTTGTTGATTTGCAGAATAATTATTTACACTTGAATCTAATAACAAAATCAAACAAAAACCTTTTGATTTTAAATGTTAAATTCAGGGGAGATTCTAATATACATACATTTGAAAAGGAGGTGCCATATGCACCTTTTAGTAATGTCATTTTTTTTTAATAAGGTTATTGATTTTAAATGTTTTATCAATATTTTTACCAAATATCTCACATGGATATCAGACCTACATGGGACCAATATGGTGTGGATTTCAAACTCATGTGAGATATTTAGTAGAAATATTAGTAAAACATTTGGAATTTCTATAATTTTTCTCTTTTTTTAGTTATAATCAATTTTATATTTTAATCTATTTTCATAAATTCATCTTGATTCTGAAATTTCTCTTCTATGTTAGATTCATGGGATAGCTTATCTTTTCACTACAATCCTCTACAAACATGTCTGCTTATCTTTTCACTACAATCGTCTGCAAAGACTTAGTAATGGGATAGCTGCTTATTAGTTTTTTTGTTTTTAAATGAATTCCACATGCCTTTACAGTAGATTGATCACATGCACACAAATCTATATAATTTCCAAATTGGTGCACACTATTTTTAAATGAACTCCTGCTCCTTTATGTTTGATTTCTTGTGTAGTGCATATTTGAGTTTTAGAGCCAAAGATGTCTTCGGATTATAGCGAACCTATTACTGCTGATGATGCCGAGTTGGATGACGATGTATCTCAAGGACCCACAAAGAGGATTCGAAAACTAACTTCAAAGGTATGGGATGACTTTGTCAAATTTAAAGGACCTAATGGAAATGACATAGCTAGATGTAAGCATTGCAATAGGGAATTTGTTGGAGAGAGTAGGAAAGGGACTAGTCATTTAAAAAATCATTTGTCGAAGACATGTCCAGTACTTAAAGGGCCAAATGCCCCTAGGATTGCTAGTAAGGCTGCTTCTGAATCTACTCCTAAGGCTGCAAATTTTAAATTCGATCAAGAGAGAAGTCGTATGGATTTTTCTAGGATGGTAATCAAGCACAATTATCCTTTTAACATGGTTGAGCATGAATTTTTTGAAATATTTTGTAATAATCTTCAACCAATGTTCAAACTTGTTTCTCGTAACACTGTTAGGGCGGATGTCCTTGATGTTTATGAAATAGAAAAGGCCAAGTTATATCAATTTTTGGATGAACTCTCTTCTAAGATCACCTTGACAACTGATATATGGACTTCAGACCATCAGAATTTTGCCTATACATGTTTGACTGCTCATTATGTGACTAATGATTGGGAGTTGAAGAAGAAAATCCTTGCTTATAGACGCATTGATTACCCGCATGATGGAGACCATTTGTTTAGTTTTATCAAAGATCTAATTTTAGAGTGGAACATAGATAAGAAGTTATTTTCAATGGTAGTCGATAATGCAACGAGTAATGATGTCATGGTGAGACTCTTAAAGCGATGGCTACATGACCAAGGATTACTACATTTGGGTGGACAATTGTTTCATGTGCGTTGTAGCGCGCACATATTGAATTTAGTTGTTCAGGATGGTTTGAAGGTGATTGGGAGTCTTATTTCAAAAATCCGAGAAAGTGTGAGATATTTAGGGAGGTCTCCTTATGGAAAACAAAAATTTGATGTTGCAGTGAATCATGTTAAGTTACATCATAAAAAGAAAGTCCCCATGGATGTTCCTACCAGATGGAACTCCACTTATTCAATGCTTGAAGCTGCATTAGATTTGAAAAGTGCATTCCACCGCTTAGGGCAAATTGACAAACAATATAAGCACAATCCTTCTGAGGATGAGTGGAATGTAGCAAATGTGATTTGTGGGTGCTTGAAGATTTTTTTTGATCTCACTTTAGTGGTACCACTTTTCCGACTTCAAATGTGTTTTTTCCCGATATTTGTCTTATTCAACTTGAAATGAAAAAATGGGAGCAAAGTGAGTATGATTGCATTCGATTGATGGCCGGTCCAATGAGAGTGAAATTTCAAAAATATTGGGAAGAATGTTCTTTGGTGTTAGCAATTGCAGTGGTTCTTGATCCGAGATTTAAAATGGACTTGGTGGAATACTACTTTGGGCTTATTTATGGTGTTGATGCTAATAAGCATATTCAGAGGGTCCGTAATGGTTTTGTTGATCTTTTTTATGAGTATAGGAGTGATTCTTCTGATTCTATGAGTAGCATTGCACTTGTTTCTGAAAATAGTAGCTCAAGTGGTAGTCAGTTGCTTGTCGGTTCTTCGAAACAAGAAAGTTTGGCTGCTTTTCATGCGTGGTATGCCCAAGAACGTGCTTCTAACATTCATGCCTATCAAAAATCAGAGGTGGAGCAATACTTGGAGGAGTTGGTGTTTCCAAGTAATGAGAGCTTCAATATTCTACATTGGTGGAAAGTGAATAAAGCAAAATTTCCTACTTTGGCAAGGATAGCTCGTGATGTTTTAAGTGTTCCTGCTACTACGGTTGCATCAGAGGCGGCGTTTAGTGTAGGAGGTAGGGTGATTGATGAGACACGTGCTTCATTACTTCCAGATATTGTGGAGGCCTTGATCACTTGCAATGATTGGATTGAATCAACCAAAAATAGAAGTAAGTGAAATATTGAAATTTTTAAATAATTAGATGTTATTTAGTTTAGTTCTATGAATATCTTAATGTCACATTATTTTCAAATTGCAGATGTAGAAGAATGCAGACATGAGTAGATGGATTGAATTGAATCGAATCACTTGAAGTAGATGGGTAAATATGGTTCAGATTATGGGGCTTGTCCCATGCCTTTATAGTGATCAATGAAATTCGTATTTGACATAATTTGATAATCTGTTTGCATATTAAGGTAATAGCTTTCTTGATTTGCAGGTTTGATAATGAGCTTAACAAAGCGGTTGCTATTAAAGTTATTGACTTGGAAGAATCGTGAGTATATAGCTTTAATTATCTCTCCTCTATACAATTTATTTGCTCTCTCTCTTACTAGAACTGCTTGTGGTGAAATGTGGTTACATAACTTTTCTTCTTGGAAATGTGGTTAAATTGTTTATATGCACTTTTATAACATCTCTAATTGATAATTTGTTTTCTACCTTTGAATGTTTACGTCATTATGATGCTCTTTAAGTTCACAGAATCTTGCCTGTCGTTGGTTATCTTTGAAGCTTTTGGGATGCATTGACGAATTTGAACCACAAAGATCGACAAGGACTACTGCCTCCTAATAGCAAATTCTTGGATACAAGCTTCATGGTTTTCCTTGTATTCCAGAATCTATGAATCTGAGTGATCTGGTTGGAAGATTGTTCCTGCTTCAAACTGGATATACTGTTTTTTGGTAGATGTAGCAACTTTGAAAAGAGTTTTAATGTTTTTTCAATTCCGGAAAGTTTAACTGGTTGCATAAGCTTTCTGTAAGAGCAGACGTTATAGTGCGGTAACAACGATGTTATATATAACAGCAGCTGCAGGTCTTTTGTACCTAACAATTCACTTTGAGAATGTTTAACTTTCTTGTTTTCAGAGATGTTATGCATTGTATATCAAATCATTTTGGGTTTGGTTTTACTTTGGGCTTTTGTGTGACTTTGTGTTAGGTGATGGGATGCAAAAATGAGGCAGGTTTGATGCTTTAATTAATTAAAAAAAAAATTTAGTGTTCTCAGGAGGCAATCTAATTTCTTGAATGAATGTTTTGTACGACATTCCTTTTTGTTTTTTTTTTTAAATATAATTTCTTCTAAACTAATTACAAGCATGAAATTAGACAATGACAAAACAATAACAAAAATTTGCTAGAATATGCCATTTTTTTTTTTTTTGCGTTGTTGCACAAGAACATTGTAGCCTCCAAAGAACTAAAGATATGTAGTAACAAGCCCAGGCCATCCTCTCAGCTGTGTCTGAATTTGACACACCTCAATTCAAACTATGAAGGGTCTTGGGGAAGTTTTTGGTTTTATTGTTTTTTGAATTGGGGAGCAAACAATTTGTTTTAAGAGTAATGCTCCACAGGCCGACAGAATAGATCGAGTATAAAACCGAATACACATGGATGCCTTATACAACAACGTTCAAATCGAGTCATGGTTTATGTGGATGCGAGCAATCTGCACTCTTTTTACCATATCAATGTGGGATCGAGTGTTTGTTTTTACGGACACAACATACATGGCTACACTCTTCAAACCATTTCGATGTGGGATCTTTGAGTCATGGCTTGTATAGATTACATGTGTCTATGATCTTGCATGGAGTGTGAAACACAATTCTAAATGACACTAATAAAAAAAAAAAAAAAAAAAACGGATCGGATCGGATTATTCGGATCGGATATCCGTGTAAAACGGATCGGATCGGATCACATATAATCGAATTTTCAATAATCGGATTTGGATTCGGATTCGGATTAATAGTTAATCGGATCGGATCGGATTTTGGCAGATCTCACCCGGATCCGACCCGTTGACAGGCCCCACTCAATGTAACCCGATCCATATACAACGGAGAGCGGGTCACCCGAAGTATAAAATACGCGGTTCTCCCTCCAAAACCCTAAACCCTAATCACTCTCTCAACTTCGAATTCGACTCTGGTTCTGCTCCGAAAATCTTCTCCAATGGCGGTGAGTACTCGATGCATGTGATTTTACTTCTATTCATGTTCCACAGTACAATTGCTTTGATATTTTTCATGGAAAATTGTCTTCGGGAAAGTAGTTTCCATCTAAACAAACAAAATTCCCTAGGGCTCAATTTTTTTATGCAAAAACTGTGCTGTTTTATGTGAAATTTATATACCCTTTGTAGTTCCAAAAATTTCTGTGTATGCATGTATGTATGGGCCGACTGTAGATTCACTGGTGGTGTTCTGTTTTTGGAATTCCTTGTTTTAATTTTAGTAATCTGCTGTCTTTGATTGATTGGCATTTCATGTCTTAGGTAAGGTCTGAAAATAATTGAAGATCTGGTGGTGAATTGGTAATTCATGGTTTATTGTGAGAATCTGTTGCATTTTGTGGAGATTATACCATCTACTTGAGAAGAAGTATAATTAACCTAACCTTTTTGATGCTAAAATGTTGAGGCTTATGTGCAGTTTGGCTTTGATTTTGAAATTTTATGTGCTGTTGGTTTTGCAATTAAACCGGACCCTTTTGAATTTAGTGTAAAAAAAAAAAAAAGATTTGCATAAGGAAGCCAAATTTGTATGGGAACTTGTTCAGATCCAGGAAGAGATTTGTATGCTATAAAGGAATGATGTTATCATAGAGAAGAAATTTGTTGGGCTACTTGGACAAGTTTAGAGGTCTCTGTTGAAGGAGGACATTTTAGGCATGCTATTTGATATGAAGTTAACTGGGAGGTGGCTTAGATAGTTTGCAACTACAAATATTGAAACTGCTGCAAGTTAAGACTCAATGTAGGGAGTCGTAATCTTTTTCAGCTTTAGTTGATACCTAACCTTACTCTGTCAAGGCCCTTTATTTTCACACAAACTGGGCATTTAAGAGATAGTATCATTTCTTGGTCAATATTACAAACTCATGCTAGTTGAAGACGCACTTAGGTTATCACTTGTCAAGAGTTATCAATCTAGTGGTAAATTGAATGCTTTCTTTTTCATTAGGTATTGTATTGAGACCATTCAATTTTCCCTTAGATGACAAAGCTTTGCATGCTTTTTTATTTTTATTTTTATAAATATTTTATTTATATTAAAAGGTTGGTCGTTATATAGTGGCTCTGCATTTGCTGCTTCTACATATACCAGAGCTTTCGATAGTTTTTTAGCAGGGAGAAAAGGTGGAATAAACTTACATCAGTATGGAAGCATGGTTGAAATCATCTAACTGCTACTAACTTTAGGTGATTTCTTTTGAAAGTTAACTATTGTTGTTCACACACACAATATAGAAACATTACAGGTACCCTAGTCTTCTGTAAGCCTTTCCTTATCAGTTGCATGGCACATAGTGAGTGGTTAAATTATAACAAAATGGAAGTATATATTTTTTGCATTTATATAACTTATTTAATTTTTTATAAAAAAAGGAATAGAAGCATTACTTTTGGTTAAATGTTAGTTTTATTTCTTACTTGTTAGTTTTATTTCTTACTTGTGGTTGGTGACTTCAATGTTGAAACTAGATTTCATTCTGTTGCACCCACAGTGTCCCAAGGTATCACTTTCTCTGTTTCTTTTTTTTTTTTTTTTTGGGCTCTTGAAGAGTTTCAATCTATAGAAAGATCTGAGTTAGTTAATATGGCCTTGGCTTATTTCTTCACTGCTTGCCACATTATTTCTGTAGCTGACCCTATAATATTGGTTGGGGATCCTTTTTGTACCACAGGAATCTTTTGCTCAAGTGCATGTTATGTGGTTGTTTGGCATGTACTAAAATAGCACACGCTGTTTAAGCACATTATCCTATTTAGGTCACGATCATCTTATTTAAGTCACATCACCTCTCTATCACATCACTTCAAACCCAACCCATATTTCACATTTTTTCGTAAAAAGTCAAAAGTATACTAATCTAGTACTTCCCAAACAACCCCTATATGTTCCTTTTTTGTATGTGCGATGGATTCACAGATAATTTTAGGGATACTTGATCCTAATAAAAGATTCTTGTACCCAGCCCAGAGTAGTTGGGATTATGGTTTTCTTGTGATGAATTGGGACTGGATCCTCATGCTGCATTTGTGGTAGTGTTTTTGTGATGCAAAGAAAGGTGATGAATTAGCTTAATTTGATAAAATATTCCTGGTGGTGTTTGTTAAATGATAAAACTTGATTAGTGATTCTTAGGCGCTTTTCCTTTTCAAATAAATAACCAACTATCCTTTTTTAAAATAAGAAAATAGAAAATATACCATTCTTACCTCAATTATTGTGTGTTTTTGGTACAACATTGAGTATACTGCGTTTAGCATTTATATATGTACATGCTTTTTGTTATTACTGCTTAAATTCTTTGGTTATTACATCTGGTGGTCCTAGTTCTCTGCTTGGAGGCTATGTATTAGGACATATTTCTGTTCTAGTACATAATTTAAGATTAAAATTTCATTCACCAGTTTACTTTATTTTCTGTGATATATGCTGTTGCACTTACCTTGCATTTTGAATTTTTTAAATTTATTTGAATGTTGCAGACTGTACCTGTTAATCCCAAACCTTTTCTGAACAATTTGACTGGAAAGAAGGTCATCGTTAAACTCAAGTGGGGAATGGAATACAAAGGTATGGCTTTCAGTGGGTGCAAATTACGTATGTTTGCTCGTGCGTGCGTGCATGTGTTTATAAATTTAACTATTTCTCTGTCCTTTTATTTTCATGAATTCCCTTTATACCTAACGTGCTTTGGTCTATGTTTTGATTAATAGTAGGAGTTCTGTTAATCTTCATGCATGATTGGATCCAATTTTATTTTTTTTCTCTTTAAATTTGTTTTCAGGTTTTCTTGTCTCAGTGGATTCATACATGAACTTGCAGGTATTACGCTGAAAAATATTTTTCTTTTTATTTCTAATCATACATTCTGTTGTACATGTTCTTGAAAGCTACCATTTGTCTTATTTTCATGGATTGGTTCCTGAGCTATCATGTTGAATAGTTTGTTCATTGCAAGATTGCATTTTGGCCTTCTGTTGTTGAACCAAAGCATGTTTAATTTGATGATTCATATCATAACAATGTCGGAAATAAAGAATTGTTTAGCATTGACACATTTCTTAAATTTCACCTTTTTATGTAATTGATTATCTGCAGCTGGCAAACAGTGAAGAATATATTGAGGGACAATTCACTGGAAATCTTGGAGAGATTCTTATCAGGTATGTGTTAGGGATAACAATACGATATCTACTGTTTGAGAATTTTAAGTTCGTACATTTCTTCTTCAGATGAGTCAAGTCACTTTACTGCATCTGCAGATGTAACAACGTTCTCTATCTTCGCGGGGTACCAGAGGATGAAGAAATAGAGGAAGCTGAAGAAGACTGAGGTGGATTCATCGCCCTCCAAATAGAATTCTGGCTTCTATTTGACATCAATATCATCTACCGCCTCTGCCTTAGCCTTTCGCATATTGTATTTGTATCACATATAAAAATATTGTTAGTTTTTTGCAAATATTTTCACTCTTTTGTATGCTATGCCCTTGCTAAACTTTATTTTGGGCACTGAAGCCATTTCATCACTCATGGATTTCCAAGCAATGGAAGAAGTCACCTATTATTTTCATTTGTGGGTATGCGAGGCATTGCGATGAAAATTTCGTTTCTGTTTTGGGGGTAGGTTTCATTTTGCAAACGTCCCATATTAATCTGTAATGAAAATGAATGTTTCATTAACTGGAGAAGCAAGAAGTCTATATCCTCTCTCCGTCTTCTCTTAAAAACACACCCTGTTTGATTGTTTTGATATGTTATTTGTGTAGGATATTTTATAATCTGAAAATAAGATTTAATCCAGGGCTAGCTCTATGCAAGGGAAAATCTTCTAATGGAAAAGTTTCTAGTGTTTTTCAATTGTGATTTTTAGCCTCTTTTTATATATATCCCACCATAAAGCTCAGTTTATGTTTGGTAATGTTGTTAGTTTTTATTATTTGAATTAAAAAAAATCAATGAATGTTTGGAACTTATGTATGTTTTCAAAAAAAAGAAAAAAAGAAAAAAAAAGGAGTATTTGGAGTGGTGTGATGTTGAGAGAGAGAGAACCGAAATTACAAAGAAGACGACCTGTGTTAAGATCCAAATCTCCGAAGGCTGAGATCATTGAACACTGTCTGATCTTGCCTGATCTTGCTGCATTGCCATTTCTAGAATTCAGGTAATCACCACTCTGTTTCTTCAAATTCTGCATTCATATCTGTGTTATATATATATACTCTCTCTTTCTCTCACACGCGCACACACACACACACACTCATATTAGATTTTATTGTTTGTGTTGCGTGTGAATTTGAGGCCTCGTTTGGGAATCATCTTTTTTAGCCAAAAAGCCAAAAAGTTACTAAATTAGCCAAAAAGCCAACAACCCATACCAAAAAGTCAAAGATTCTCTTTTCTCTCTATTTTTTGCACATCTTTTCGTAAAAAGCCAAAAAGTCATCCCAAACATACTAGTTTTTTTTAGCTCATATTTTAGCCAAATAGCCAAAAAGTTACTAAATTAGCCTGTTCTCAAACAAGGCCTGAATTTCCCAAGAAGAAGGCATAACCACATGAAATGCCCAAACAGATGGAAGAAATCAGAAATTTATGCATACCACTTTTATTATCTCCTCCACCAACAATATACCAATTTTCATAAATGGTGATGCCAGCATGACCAGCCCTAGGGGCCACCAAGTCACCTTGAATTTGCGGTTGCAGACTGTACCAGTTAATCCCAAACCTTTTCTGAACAATTTGACTGGAAAGAAGGTCATCGTTAAACTCAAGTGGGGAATGGAATACAAAAGTATGGCTTTCAGTGGGTGCAAATTACATATGTTTGCTTGTGCGTGCGTGCATGTGTTTATAAATTTAACTATTTCTCTTTGTCCTTTTCTTTTCATGAATTCCCTTTATACGTAATGTGCTTTGGTCTATGTTTTCATTAATAGTAGCAGTTCTATTAAACTTCATGCATGATTGGATGCATTTTTATTTTTATTTCTTTAAATCTGTTTTCAGGTTTTCTCGTCTCGGTGGATTCATACATGAACTTGCAGGTATTACGCGGAAAACTAATTTCCTTTTTATTTCTAATCAGACATTCTGTTATACATGTTAGAAAAAATGTGGAAGAAACATTTTAGAATGTATTGAATATTGCAGTGTTTACAAATGGCTGCTGACACACCTAAAATAAACACTCAAAAGAGTTTAAATAGACTCTTCTGTTAGCTACACAATGCACCACTTCCTTATTTTTTGCTACCAGATTACATTGACAGATAATAAAACTTCTAAAAACTCTCAACCACTAGGCAACTAATCCTAAAGACTCTCAACTACTTGAAACAAATCCTAAAGACACTCAACCACTAAGTCCACTATCACATATTTGTAGAACAGCAATCAACAGGTGTCCTACAATCAGATCTGCTACAGCTCTTTAGCCCACGTTTGAATTATGTTCTAACATTTCCCCCCTTAATTCAACGAGGGGCTTGCTCTCCCATCATGGACCGAAATTTCTTGAATTCATCTTCTGCCATAGCCTTTGTGAGAATATCAGCTGGTTGTTCCTCTGTGTTGCAATACTGCAGCTCTATTTCACCTTTAGAAATCAACTCTCAAATGAAATGGTATCGAATCTCAATGTGTTTCGATCTTCCTTGCTGGGCTGGATTCTTGGTCAGTGCAATTGTGGATTTGTTGTCACTAAATATCACAGTAGGACCATCTTGCTTTTCCTTTAGATCTTCCAGAATTCTCTTTAACCAACTAGCATGACATGCTGTGGTTGTGGCTGCTATGTACTCTGCTTCTGTGCTTGACAAAGCTATACTCTGTTGCTTTTTTGATGCCCATGAAATGATTCCTGAACCAAGGCTGAATATATAACCTGTTGTACTCCTCCTATCATTTGCACAACCAGCCCAATCACTATCAGTAAAAGCAACAAGATTATTGGGTTTGCCTTTCATATACTTGATGCCATAATTTGAACTGCCTCGAACATATCTCAAGATTCTCTTAGCTAACCCCAAATGATGTTTGCTTGGATTGTGCATAAACCTCGATATGAGACATACAGAAAATGCTATATCTGGTCTTGTATGAGTCCTTCCACTATACTTCTGAAATATTTCTCATCAACCTTTTCAACCCCATCATTCAAAGAAAGCTTTTCATTTGCATTTAATGGTGTCTTGGCAGGCTTGCAATTCATCATTCCAAATTTTTTTAACAAATCATCTGCATACTTCATTTGACAAATAAAAATACTATCCGAATCTTGCACAACTTCAATCCCCAAAAAATAATGCAAAACACCCAAGTCAGACATTTCAAAAGTTTGCATCACTGACTCTTTAAATGCTTCTATCATTTGAGAAGAACTTCCAGTATATATCATATCATCAACATACAAACACACAACCAAGAATTCACTGTTATGACTTTTAACAGACAAGGTTGGTTCACTAGCACTCTTTTGAAATTGGTTGTCAGCAAAATAAGTGTCAATCTTGCTATACCAGGCTCTTGGTGCTTGTTTGAGCCCATAAAGTGCTTTGTGCAATTTGTAAACTTTGTGCTCTAACTCTTTCACCATGTAACCTTGGGGCTGCTCAACATGAACATCTTCCAAAAGCTCGCCATTAAGAAATGCAGATTTTATGTCTAATTGATGAACTATCCAACCATTATGGGCGGCCAAAGCCAAGAGAGTTCTAACCGTATCAAATTGAGCAACTGGAGCATAAGTTTCTGTGAAGTCAATACCTGGAGTTTGAGCATACCCCTTAGCTACCAATCAAGCTTTATACCTTTGCAATGTGCCATCTGCATTGAACTTGGACTTGTAAATCCATTTGACACCGATTGCTTCCTTCCCAATTTGTAAATTCACCAAGGTCCATGTCTCGTTCTTCTCAATGAAATCAATTTCTTCTTTCATTGCTTCACACCATTCCTCTTTGTTCTCTGCATCTTCAAAACAAGTAGGTTCCAAAGCAAGGCAAGCATATTCACATGCGACATAAATATCAGAAAGACTTCTTACCCTTCTTGGTGTGGAATCTGGAAATGAAACAGGGGACACTTGTTGGCTGGAGGATTCAAGATCAACATTTTTTTCTTCCATCAAAGTGGGCTTTGATTCACTAGGGCCCCAATTCCAAATATCACTTTCATTAAACACCACATCACGACTAATAATTAATTTCCCAGATTTAGGATCATACAACCTATAACCTTTTTCTTCACTATAGCCAACAAAAATGCACTTGGTGCTCTTATCTTCTAATTTCCTCCTTAACTTAGAAGGTACAAATGCATATGCAATGGAACCAAATACCTTTAAGTGACTTCATTAGGCTTTCTTCCATACTAGGATTCATAAGGAGTCTTCCCTATGACTGCTTGAGTTGGAAACCAATTGAGTAGATAAATAGCACATGCCACAGCTTCTGCCCAAAACTTCTTGGGAATATCGTTGTCTTTCAACATGCTTTTCGCTGCCTCTATTATAGTTCTATTCTTGTGCTCCGCGACGCCATTCTGTTGAGGAGTATAACTTGCTGTGAGTTGCCTTTGGATGCCATGACTGTTGCAAAACTTTCTGAATTCTGTGGATGTAAACTCATCAACACGGTCAGTACGCAATGTTACAATAGAGCAGCCACTCTGTTTTTCCACTGAAACTTTAAATTGCTTGAAACACTCAAAAACTTCAGATTTCTCTTTCAGAAAATATACCCAAGTCATTCTTGAAAAATCATCAGCAAAGATCAAGAAATACTGACTTTTGTTCAAAGAGAGTGTTTGCATTGGACCACATACATCAGCATGCACCAGCATTAGATGCTTTGTAGCTCTCCAAGATTTACCTACTGAAAACTTTTCACGATGTTGCTTTCCAAGAATACATGGTTCACATATTTCCCTATCAAATTTAATCATTGGAAAACCAGAAATTCAGCCCATCAAAGTTAAGATGACCAAATCTTCTGTGCCAAAGCTTGAAATCACTACTTGATGCACTAAAAGCATTGACAGAAACCTTTGAAAACATAAGAGGAAACATCTTGTTTTCTGTCACTTTGACTGAGTAGATTAAGTTCATGCTCCTCTTATCATATATCATGCATTCATCCTTGTCAAAGGTAACACAATAACCTTTTCTCATCAATTGGCCTGAACTCAGCAGATTTTGAGCTAACCCAGGAACATACATAACACCATGAATGAGCTTTTTTCCAGGGTTTAAAATCACAGTAATAGTACCCAAACCGCATACCTGAACATGGTTGTTGTCTCCCATCTTTACTTGTGTCTTCACTGATTCGTCAATTTCCACAAAGAAATTTCTATTACCAGTCATGTGATTACTACAACCACTATCAAGATACCAAATATCTTCAGACATATCAATATGAGCAGCCAAACATGTAAGAAATAAATTCTCTTCAGATGCATCTTTTACTTCATTAAAATTGGCCTGCTCCTTGGCCTTGTGAAAACAATTTTTCTTAACATGACCAAACTCCTTACAATTATAACATTGTGGAGCATTTTTATTTTGGCTAGAGTTGGTTTTAAACCAACAATCCTTATCTTCATGATTTGTCTTTCCATAATGTGAACATGGAGTAAGAGTAGCATTGTTACCTCTATTAAAGTTTCTCTGCTGGCCATTGAATCTGCCTCTTCCTCTTCCTCTTCCATGCAATGAATTTCCACGTCCCCTTCCATTGTTTCCTCGTCCCAAGCCATCTGACATTTTCTTCAAATCAAGCCTTGATTGGAAGGCATGTTGAACAAAAGTTTCTGTTGTTCTGTTCAGCCGCTGCTCATGTGCTTGTAAGGAACCCATCAATTCATGGAGAGGATAATCAGACAAGTCCTTTGACTCTTCTATCGCTGTGACAACATGATCAAATTTGGGAGGAAGGCTTCGCAAAACCTTCTCAACAATTTCTGATTTGTCAATTCCTCTCCAAGTGATCTAATTTGATTCACTATAGAAGTAACTTTTGAGAAGAATTCCTGAGTTGCTTCTGAGGACTTCATTGATAAATTTTCGAATTCCCGACGTGGAGTTTGCAGCTTCAGTGTAACAACTCTACTCGAGCCTTGATACTCTTCTTGAAGCAAATCCCATGCTTCCTTTGATGTGGAAACATCCATAACCCTTGGAAATACGGCTTCATCCAAAGCTTGCTGAATTAGAAATAAAGCTTTGGCATCCTTCTGCTTTTTTTCTTTCAGCTCATTGCGTTGAGCTGCTGTCAGCCTTGTAGCTTGCTTGGGATCCGCAAGATCTACAAAGCCATTCTCCACCAAGTCCCACAAATCATAGGACTTGAATAACGTCTTCATCTTGATGCCCCAAAATTGATAATTAAGACCAGTAAAGATGGGAACATTTTGAGGGGAGCTTCCTATAATGTTGTTTCCAGACATAACTTGAAGTGACCAGAACACTGATATGCTAACAAAGCACTCTAACTTTGCTCTGATACCAAAATGTTAGAAAAAATTGTGGAAGAAACACTATAGAATTGATTGAATATTGCAGTGTTTGCAAGTGTCTATTTGCAAACATTGCAATATTCAATAAATTCTAGAGTGTTTCTTCCACAATATTTTCTAACAACACGTGCATGTATGTGTGCATGTTCTTGAAAGCTACCATGTGTCTTATTTCATGGATTGGTTCCTGAGCTATCAATAGTTTGTTCAGTGCAAGATTGCATTTTGGTCTTCTGTTGTTGAACCAAAGCATGTTTAATTTGATGATTCATATCATGACAATGTTGGAAATAGATAATTGTTTAGCATTGATACATTTCTTAAATTTCACCTTTTTATGTAATTGATTATCTGCAGCTGGCAAACAGTGAAGAATATATCGAGGGACAATTCACTGGAAATCTTGGAGAGATTCTTATCAGGTATGTGATAGGGACAACAATAAGATATCTACTGTTTGAGAATTTTAAGTTTGTACATTACTTCTTTGGATTACTTCTTCAGATGAGTTAACTCACTTTACTGCATCTGCAGATGTAACAATGTTCTCTATCTTCGCGGGGTACCAGAGGATGAAGAGATTGAGGAAGCTGAAGAAGACAGGTGGATTCATCGGCCTCCATATAGAATTCTGGCTTCTATTTGACATCAATATCATCTACCCCCTTAGCCTTTTGCATATTGGATTTGTATTACATATAAAAATATTGTTAGTTTCACTCTTTTGTATGCTATGCCCTCGCTGAACTTTATTTTGGGCACTGAAGCCATTCCGTCGCTCATGGATTTCCAAGCAATGGAAGAAAGAAGTCACCTATTATTTTCATTTGTGGGTGTGCGAGGCATTGCGATGAATTAACCCACCTGTGAATCTTTCTGTTATTGAAAATTTCATTTCTGTTTTGGGGGTATGTTTCTTTTTGAAAACATCCCATATTAATCTTTAGAAACAAGAAGTCTATATCCTCTCTCTCTCTCTCTTCAAAAATAAAATATAATTTATTTTCTTTAAAACACAACCCCTTTAATTGTTTTGATATGTTATTTGTGTAGGATATTTTATAATCTGAGATTAAGATTTCATCCAGTGCTAGCTCTATACAAGGTAATGGCAAAGTTTTGAGTGTTTTCAATTGTGATTTTTACCCTTATATATATATATATATATCCCACCATAAAGCGCGGGTTATGTTTGGTAATGTTGTTAGTTCTTGTTATTTTTTTTTTTTGAGGATACTAGTTCTTGTTATTTGAATAAAAAAAAAATCAATAAATGTTTGGAACTTGTGTATGTTTTCAAATAAATAAATGTATTTGGTCCTCAAAAAAAATAAAATAAAAATGTATTTGGTATGGTGTGATGTTGAAAGAGGGAGAGTACTGAGAGGATAAGAGAATTGAGGAGGGGAGAATGGAGATAGAATGAAAACTTCAAAAAAAAAAGAAAAGAAAAGAAAAGGGAGTGAGTGCATATTTTTCAAAGTTGTGTTTTCACTTCTAATTTTTTTAATTTTTTCCTCTCAAAAAATTGAATACTTCAGCTATTTTTTTGTAAGAAAAATTAAAAAAACTGAAAACAAAATGTACCAAACATATTATTGTCAGTTATGAGAATGAAAGTCAATCAAGATCGTTTTTGATGATTGACTAAAAATATTTTTCTTTTGTCTAAAAAATTTATTGTACTTAATCAATGTCACCTCCTTCAGCTAGTACCACTATCACTAATAAAATTATAAAATTAATTATGCTTGGTTATCATTTTTTAAAAATACTTTTCAGAAAATTTTATTTTTTTATTTTTCGTGTTTTTTTTTTTGTTTTTTACTGAATTTTTTTAATATTTTGAGCAATTTTTTTAATTTTTAAACATACCTAACATACATATACTTAAAAAGTAAAAAAAAAAATTGAAAAAAAAACCTTTTAAAAAATTTACTAAATACTAAAAATATAAAAAAAATACGAAAATTCAGTACATTTTTTATATTTTTATGTATTTATTAATTTTTAAAATATTTTTTTCACAAATTTTTTACTTTTTAGATACATCAAGTAAGGTACATCTAAAAAAATAAAAAAAATATTTAAAATTTTACATATATTCACTAAAAACAAAAAAATACGAAAATCAAAAAACTAAAGTTTCAAAAACTTAATTCAAAAAATTCAAACCAAACACAATCAATTGTCAATATCAATTTTAAAATTAAAACTAATTAGGGAAAAGTGTTTTGCAGCGGCGTTACGTTTAATTAAACGGAGTCTTCTACAAAGAGAGATTTTAGAGAGAGGGAGAGAGAGATTACAAAGAAGGCGACCTGTGTTGAGATCCGAATCTCCGAAGGCTGAGATCGTTGAGCACCGTCTGATCCTGCCGCATTGCCATTTCTCTCTTCGATTTTGATTCGAATCTCTGCCAACTTCCCCCAAAACAATTCCGCTAGAATTCAGGTAATCACACTCTGTTTCTTTAAATTCTGCATTCATATATGTGTTATATATATACATACTCTCTGTGCGGACCACCCCACTGCCGTAGCACGCACCAAGATGTCATCCGCTTTGTACCACGGCTACACACGTTTTGTTGGAGGTTTGTGGTATAACACCGTCATAAAGGCATAGCACGGACAAAGATATCGTCTGCTTTGTACCACTGGCTACACACATATTGTTGGAGGTTTGTGGTATAACACCGTCATAAGGTAACGGATTGATGTGGGACGGATTCGGACCCCACATTCATTCCCAAGCATACGGGTCCATGTGGTGGAGCTAGGTTTTTCATAGATAGGGCTGCAAACGAATCGGATTATTCATGAATAGGCTCGGCTCATTCTCGAGCTCGAATAAGTTCGGTTATCTCTATTTAAATAATATAAGTAATATTAAAAATAATCTTATCAAGTCGAGCCGACCTGAGCTAAGACTTGCTCGAGCCCAATTAGTTATCGAGCTGAGCTCGAGTTCAATAAACAAGTTTGATAAGCAAATGAGCCGAGCTCGAGCTCAGTAAAGCTCGGCTTGGCTCATTTGTAGCCCTACCCACGGACACCAATTGTGCAGACCACCGTAATGTCGTAGTACGCACCAAGATATTAGATGTTATTGTTTGTGTTGTGTGTGAATTTGAATTTCGTTTTGAGTTGGATCCAAAGTTTGTGCCATGGTGTTGATGTTGTTTCTGCTTCAATTCTAGTTGCAATTGATTTAGGTTGAAAATGCACACACAATGCGTGTGATATTCAGAAAAAAAATAATAATAAAAAAATAAATAAAATTACGGAAGTGGATGGTTAAAGGAAGTTTGTCCAAAATGCAGTTTGTGTATAATTGTCTCTCTCTATCTTTGTTTCTTTTTCACAAAAACATTTTTTGAACAATGTTTTCTGCATTTTCTAACGTTTGATACAATAGAAAATGAAAGTGAAAGTGAATGAAAAATGTTTTTAGTGACCGACTAAAAAAAGAGAAATGATAGATAGGCCAAGCTGTTCGCGGAAGCCCACTTATGTGGCTCATGAGGCATAGAATTAGTATTAGGAATGGGTCCACAAAATTACCTCTATTGGTTTTGGTGGAATTTGCGATTTTGGTGACACTGCTAAAAAAAATAAAAAGTCTATTTGGACAGAAAATGTTTATTAAAATACAAAAAACCTTTTACCAATATCACCACACTATCACAATAGCCATCACCCCACCGCCACTAATACAATCATTACTAGATTAGTTTCAAGGAGGCAACCAAACATAGGAAAATTTTTAGTCCGGAAAACATTTTCTTGAGAAAATTTCCCATTGTATAATGTTCTATGCCAAAACAAGCAGAGCATTAATAACTTTTTTTCCTTAAGTTTCCCACCAATCTAGCAATCTTGAAATATAGTGCTTGAATGAAATTTTTAATTTTTTTTTGTGTGGTCATTTTACAAATATATGAGACTTAAATTTTCAATTAGATAAGAAAGTCAACAACAAAGTACAACCTTAACAATCACACAACTAGAAAGACCCCAATCAATACAGGAAAAAATACCCACACGTCAACGTTGAAGGGGAGAGTTGAAGCCTAACCTCCTAATGAGGCGCAGGGCTATTGGCTAATGAGCTAACCTCGTTGGTTGTTTGGATGATGTTACTCGCGTGAGTTACATGAATTTAAACTAGCTTTTGGCACATATGGAAAGCTTTATCTAAATCCATCTTTGAACTAAATTCTGGGAATAATAATGCTTTATAACTTGATGCTAAATTTTATAAATCCTTGTGGGAATAATTTGTGTGGGTTTCTATCTGGAGTTGAGTCATGATTTTTTTGTTTAGTGGGGGGTAAGATCTTACGTGGAATCATACATAATTTTTTTTTACTAACTGACAATTAAAATTTCCCCTAATTTAAACCCTAAATTTAAATGCAATTCAACACCTAACTTTTGACAAATTTAAATGTAATTCAACTACAATACCCAACACTTCTTTTGGACTATTGCCATCTCTTCTTTTTCCATTATTCTGTCACTTTGTTATTCATATAATCATGTTATGCTGTACACAACTTTCTTTCTCTCATACGGTTGAGAGAGACCACTATTCCATCTTTGTCTTATAGAGATGGGAAATCTTAAACTGGCCAAATTTTATGGATAGAAGCCAATTCAGTGGGGGAAAATACCCATCTTAAATGAGGCAAAAATAATATCCAAATGATCAAACAGTATTTTGCAAAGTTCATTGGGTTCATTTTCCCCCAACTTGCCCCAGTGTACATCATTCTTTGGGTTCCATAATCTGCTATTTTGATGGATATATGTTTGGGGCCATGCTATTGGCTAAATTGTTGGTCATTGTGCATTCTCATGGCCTTGACTAGTTTGCATTTTGCCTCCCTATTGTGCTTTTGGCATGGGTTCTATGGTCTGATCCAGTGGTGATTATTATACATGGCCAAACAGTTTAGATTGTTATCCTGTTTTCTTCATGTTAACTTTTATTTCTCACAGGTCCCCTCATTTCTTGGTTATGGTGTGTACACTCAAATAATATAAGTTTTTCTGCCATTTAAGGTGCTCTGAAGCTTTGTGGCCTGTGTCGAAACTGAAATAGCATTTGAAAAAAAAATTAAAAAAATTCTTCTCAAGTTTTCAATATCTTTACCTGTGCGCAATTACTAGGTTTGTCGGATTAAATTTGTCATGTTTTCTTCCATTGGGTGACACTTGTGTTCAATCACATAATTTTATCTTTCTTTTTACCTCCGTACTTTATTTTATTTTATTTTTTCGCTGCTACTCTTATTTCAGACATTTATTTTGCTCCTGGACTGACAAAGTCTGGACCTCTGAGAAAGTTGGCATGGGAGCAGAAAGTGACAATTGGCATTTGGAGTTAACCCATGACCAGTGGGTAGCACTATCTGTGTCTGGTCCACGACCACCAGCTCGCTACAAGGTTAAGTTCATTCTAGTGATAAATCAAAGTTTATCTCATGTTGTTTCAGCACTTTTGTGCTTTCTCTGTTTTCCTGTTCCTTTGGAGTCTGTGACCAAAACAAGTTAATGGATTGCATGTTTTATACAACCATTTTAAATCCAACATCATTTTTTTATTTGGCCTTCCGAAGACAGAAAATTTTGTTTTTTTCTTTAAAAGTCTTTTATAACTCCAGCTATTATCTATGGACCAATTACTTACTATGGCATTTGTGTCCTCGGACTGTAGCATGCTGCTGCCGTGGTTGATGAAAAACTATACATTTTTGGTGGAAGTCGTAATGGCCGGTATCTATCTGATACTCAGGTACTGGACTTACCCATCTCCTTCTTCATGTTAAATCCCTTTTTCTCGTGATAATGATAATTGGCTATTCTTTTGCAGGTTTTTGATCTTAAAACTTTGGCATGGTCCACTCTGAACCTGAATACTGAATCAAATGCTGATAAAATTAAAGACAGTCTCCTGCAGGAAGTTCTTCCAGCTACATCAGGCCACAGAATGGTGAGATACTGAGGCAGAATTGTCCCCCTTTTTTTGCTATTGAATTCCATATGATTCTTATTTATTCACAACGCAGTTCAACTCATTTTTTGCTGATCAATTAGTTAAGTTGTTTATCCGTATACTTTCTATGGGCAGATCAAATGGGGAAACAAACTTCTTCTTCTTGGTGGGCATTCAAAGTACTTTTCTGATAGCATAACAGGTTTTCCCATTGGGAGCAATTTCTATATCAGAGCAGAAGCTCTTTCAATTTTTCATTTTATTTTTAATTTTCCCCCCTAAACCGTGTTTCTTATAAACTGACTACTTGTAGTGCAGTTCATTGATCTGGAATCACACCAAAGTGGTGTCATGGAGACCACTGGAAAAGTTCCGGTAACTGCCTGATTCTATTAAATGCTAAATTTATATCTGTAATCTTCAAAATAACGTAATTATAGTCTCCTTTTCTCTTCAATCAACAGAAATTTTCCTTTGCTGTTAGCTATTTTATGATCCAGTAGATTAGGTGCCTCAATCCATTATTCTTCATCAATTTATATGTCTGGGGAAATGGATATTAATTTTGTCCTTTGGTTGGTTGCTTCAGGTATCTCGCAGTGGGCAGTCTGTGACGCTGGTTGGTTCTAGACTGATAATGTTTGGTGGAGAAGATTTGCACAGGCAACTGATGAATGATGCCCATGTTCTTGATCTAGAGACAATGACTTGGGACATTTTGGAGACTACGTAAGTATCTATATTACCCTTACAGCTAGTATGGTGCTTTGGTTAGAGCTTTGCATCACTGTTTTGTGCTTTCATAGGCAGACACCTCCAGCTCCCAGATTTGATCACACAGCTGCAGTGCATGTGGAGCGCTACCTTCTGATATTTGGAGGCTGTTCTCATTCCATCTTTTTCAATGATCTTCATGTACTGGACTTGCAGACTGTAAGTATTTATCCTTTTCGGATATTGTTTTCTTTATTGCAATGAAATTTTGGCTATTTAGTATACGTGGTGAATGTTAATATGTTTCAATTTCAGTTCTATTGTGGCACCTGGATTGATAATTACTGACAACGTTGAATAGATTCCAATCTTTATTTTGTGTGTTAGATGATTATAGGTAATACACTCATGTCAGATTGAGGATAGTCTGCATACTTGTTAGTTGGTCTGGATTAAGGCCTGCTTCTGTGGTTTTAACAATGGTGGGACCCAAATATATTTTGGAATATAATTTCTAATTAAGCTTGCTAATACAGTCTAAAGGCTGCTTTTGATTTCTTGTTCTTAATTTCTTTTCAGAAGTTATCATCTGTCTGCTGGCATGATGCACTTGGATTCATTATTGAAATACCTTCTTTCTAACTTGATGTTTAGTTCTTCTTAATAAAACAAGATCTATAATTCATGATGTACTTCAGTATTTAGGTCTCACTCTATTATGGCGTTGGTTCCAAATTCTGATGGATGTGGCGGGGTCACTGATCTTGATGGTAGTTTGCAAAAAGCCTATTTCAGTTCACAGTGTGGTCAAGTCTGTTGCAGGAAACAAACTCTGCTTAAATATTAGTTTGTGTGTGTGTGTGATGATTGAATGAACTATTCAGTACTACATTGTCCAAGAGGTTTAGGTCACTGTTCTGTGTAAGATGTGCAGGAAATGATATCTTGAATGAAGATATTCTGCCCTTTATTTGTTTGGAGATTATGCTGTCTTTTGTGAACTTAATTGTTGGCGAGCCATTTACTAGATCCGTAATTGTGAAAAATAATGGGACAAAAAATAAGTTCATTCCCTTCATAGACATGACTGAATGGAAGAACTTAGAACACAATCCTTCTTAGACTGCATGAAATCTATGAAACTATGTTGTCCATTGCTAATAATGCTGTACTATTTCTTGAATTATTTTGCCTTTTCTTTACTTTTTAGATTGACAAGGTCCCATTTATTGCAGTTGGAATGGTCCCAACCACAAATTCAAGGTGACTTGGTGGCCCCTAGGGCTGGTCATGCTGGTATCACCATTGATGAAAACTGGTATATTGTTGGTGGAGGAGATAATAAAAGTGGTATGCATAAATTTCTGATTTCTTCCATCTGTTTGGGCATCCCATGTGATTATGCCTTCCTCTTGACTTCATTCGTTACTTCAATAGATGTATTGTTATTGTTTACAGGTGTGTCTGAAACTCTTGTGTTAAATATGTCTAAGCTTGCCATGTCGATGTTGACAAATGTAAAGGATAGAGATCCACTAGCCAGTGAGGTTATTTTTTGTGCCCCATTTCATTATTTTGGAATATATATATATATTTTCAGTTATAGGGTGTACATAAGAATCTAGAAGCATCAAATAGGACATTAAGGTAATAAATATGTAATAATTTGGGCCATAAATTATTTTGAATAAATTTATGAGCATAACTTCAGTATGTATTAATTTAGAATGAATGTCTGGTATTTGTACTTTACGTTTTCTTAAGTTTCAAATGCTGAAGAAGTCAATTTCTTAAAGTTAGGTGCTCAGCACAAAAATGTAACGTGTGGTTTTTTTTTTGGCGTCATATCAATAATCTATTAAGTACTGCACAACTTATGTTGACTCCTTTTTGTTATACTATGTATATAGATGTGAGATTGTGGAATTTTCAATTTTGAGTGGCTTTTTGACCCGTTCCCAAAATTTTAAACATCTTGAGGTCTTAAAAAAATAGATGATTTTACTTTTATGTACCAGAAAAAATAGATGATATTTGTTCTTCAGAACTTTGAGGGACCTATTTTACCGTTGACTATTTCATTGATTGCCAGGATATTGGTGGCTGTATTTTTCATTTCTGGCAGCCTATATCTATATTGTCTTCTTAGCGGCATTTCTAGCTCCACTTATTGTAAGGAGTGGAGAGAGATGGAAATCCTAGAACACGTGCATTTTTGTTGTTAAATAGATTTTTTTTTTGTTTGTTTTATTTCAGGCTTTGTACTTTATACGCATGCCATGCACATGTACATATACATATAATGCACATTTATAATATATATTACCTGCAATTTATATGTCCACATTGGAAACAGGGACTCAGTGTTTCTTCAGCAGTTGTAGATAGTGAGAAGATTTTGGTTGCCTTTGGTGGCTACAACGGAAAATATAACAATGAGGTATTTTTAACACTCGCAGCATTTTTCTTTTGTTGAGGTAGTGACTTGATAATGTTAAAATAATAAAAGTTCGCCTCTTAGATGAAGCAAAGTTGGTGAGAGGCTTTAGAATTGACCCTTATGTCCTAGGCTCAACTCCTACGCTGGACTAGCATTGAAGCATCTAATTTATCACCCTCTGATGGCAATACAACTGATCTTTCATGATTGCAGTGTAATGATTGATGTTGTTCAAAGTTTTTTTCTCATGTCATTTTGATGGGGATCATGAAGGCATAGGATGAGCATAAATTAAAGTTTCTGGATTTATTTTAGTATGCGTTTGCTATTTATGATTTATTGGAGTTTATTTATTGGATTAGGATTTTCTCTTGGTAACTTTTATTAGGATTTTCTAGGATGTCTATTGTCGTGCCGAGATTTTAACATTCAATTTGTTTATAGAAAAACGAGTCTGAAAATCAGAGTTTGGTATTCATTCATTTCATAAAAAATAAAAAAAAGTAGGACAAAATGGGGCATCAATACCTATAAATAGGCTTATATTACATGTATGGATTTGTCAGATTTCACTTGAAATTGAAGAATGACATTGAATTGAGAGTTTTAGTTTCTTTTCTTTTTCTTTTTCCTTTGCGCCATGCATCAACACCACTTTTGAAGTATTGCCAGAATTCTTTTACATGAATTTATACGGTCCTTGTTTCATTTTCTGGTGAGAAAGAACAACAAATTTTGTCTGCAACGTTCTTATATGTACACTGACCTTTGATGTATATGTCTCTTGTTAGCCAGGCTTCCCTTTAACCCGACACCACATTTTCCCCAATAATAAATAAAAAATTTCATACCTAGGTTTCCCCCAATCGTTACTTTCGTTTTTCCTGATGCCATTCATTATGTCATGTTGCAGTATCTTTAATATGCTTCTTCGCTTTCTCTGAAATTCTAGGTATTTGTTATGAGACTCAAACCAAGGGATTCTCCACATCCTAAAATTTTTCAGTCGCCAGCAGCTGCAGCATCTGTTACTGCCACATATGCCCTAACCCATTCTGGGAAGTCAGACTTTAACAAAACAGAACATTCAAACATTAAGGTGATCCAAAACAATGGCTCTCAACATGATCTGTCAATTGACATCAATGCAATTAGAGAAGAAAAGACGGTGTTGGAGTCGGCCCTTGAAGAAGTCAGAGCAGAAAATTCAATTCTCAAAGGAAAGGTTAATGAAACTACTAGCACCTATGCTGATTTATCCAAGGTATTCTCAGTTAAGTTGAATTGCTTATGTAAATTGTGATCAATCAATCAATCTTTTTATTTTTTTTACTCATTTTCTCCAGGAACTCCACTCGGTCCAAGTTCAACTGGCGGCTGAGAGATCAAGATGTGTTACACTAGAGGTTTGCTTCCTCTTCTTCTTGTCTTTCTACTAATGTAGTTTCTTTATTACATCTTCCTCTTCTTTATGGACTCCATCAAATGCTCATGTCTGATACTTTCCATCAGACATGTCTTATATATTTATATTTAACAAAACATTATATATATTATTGTATAATTGCTATAAAATGATTAAAATGCCATTTTATCTCACATAATACATTAAAATAAAAAATAAAAACTTTTTTTTGTTGAGTCCGCATATCTTTAAATTTGAGGTTTGGTGGGTGCAACCTCTAATACATGCGTACCCGATTCCTGTTCTGTTCTGAATGTTGAGAAGAATGCTTAGGACTTCGGAGTCTCTTCCTTTATTGAAATTTGACATTTTTTATTCGTCTTTTAGGGGTGAATGGATTTTTTTTTGTTTGTTTGTGGTTCTGGTGTCTTCAGGCACAGATAGGAGAGGTACAGAAGATGCTGGAGTCATTGAAGTCCATAGAGGAAGAGATTCAATTACTCGGGCGTCAGAAATCTGCATTGGAAAGTGATGTGGAGCTTTCTGGAGACGTCCAGAGGCAGAGTTCTGGTGGTGTTTGGAAGTGGATAGCTCAATAGCTTGGATTACATTTAAATCACCAAAGTTGCAAGGTCAGGACCTCAATTAAAATTCGGTGACACTGCAAAATAAATTATGTGTCAGCAGTCATTGCTGTCCTGGAATTTTTCATTTTTTGGTATACAAAGAAACTTTTTGGGGAATTATAGTTAATGAAAAATGTTTGAACAAAACCTCATTTTTTATTTAAGAAACATCAAAAGTAATCTGCGAATTTTCGATAACTGTTGTTCCACAAAATGAAAATAATGGGTGTTTTTGAACTTTCACAACACGTAAGCAAAAACACAACCAACAAGTACGGATTCTGATCTTTTAGCTCATGCAGAATTTACCAATGTCTATCAGGAGCTTTGGCATTGTGTTTACACAGCCACATGCATGGGAGATAGAATCTTCAGATGGTCATTGGAGTTGGACCGTATAAAAATTTCTTGGGAGCTGAAACTATACTAATACAAGAGTCTAGTACATGTTTCAGTTGGTTTGGAATATCCTTATTGTTTGCATAGTGTAATTTTTACTTCTAAAACTATGCCTTATGTTACTCTGTAATAGTATTTTTTACCTAACTTCGCTATGGTCACCTTTTATTTTTTACTCTGATTTTTGATATTAGACCATCTCCAACCATTCACCAAATCTATCGTCAAATTCAAATTTGTTGAAAAATAAGTACTTTTTGTATTCCAACGGTTGCACCAAAACGGTATCAAAACGAGAAAATATCAAACATTTCACCAAACTGAGGATGGCTTGCCCCTTTTACCAATTTACTGTGCGTAGCCGTTAAGTTGGATCCACCGGACGACTGGTCAGATGTCCGGCCAGATGTCCTCCCGAATGACCACTTTAAGACAAAAAATTGTGAAAATTTACACTGACAGGTCGACCACCTTGGCATCTTTTTTACTCCATTTCAGAGCCTTGGAGTTGTCTATGGAGATTTGAATACATCTTCACTTTATGTATACAAAAGTATTTTTGTTGAAGACATTACACACTCAAAAACCAATGAAGAGATTTTTGGGGTTCTATCTTTTGTGTTTTGGACACTAACTTTAGTTCCTTTTCTTAAATATGCGTTCGTTGTGCTCAGTGCCGATGATAATGGCGAAGGGGGCACATTTGCTTTGTACTGCTCCAACCACTTTTGGGTCAAGTCGTCTTCCTCTTGTTGCTAATATCTCCCTCCTCCATCTCCATGTGATATTATTATTATTTACGGATGAAGGAAAGGGATGAAGAAAGGGAACAGACGACAACATAAATGAAGGCAAAAAAAAAAAAATTTGCTCTTGCTGGTCGACCGGCCGGTTGACCTCCTTGGATGTCCTATGGTTTGATGAAAGCTCCGTTGGAGCATCTAATATCAAATAGAAGAATTTTGTGATATTTTTACTCAGATGTGGTGAAATGTTTGGTAAATTATTAGAGATGCTCTTATAAGAAAAGATAAGGTCATTGTGTGTGAGTGATATAAGTATTTATTTTTTATAACATTTGTCTTCTTTTGTTTTTCCCTTACATGTAGAAGGATGACATGCCCTTCTTTTCAGAAAATAATGTTAAAGGCAATTAAATTGAAAATTTTACAATCTTGGTTCCAAATTAACCTTTAATAGTCTTTCTTATTTCTGGTTTAGGGCAAATTGAATCAATGAAAGTGGTCGATTTGAGTGCAAATCATGACTCTGGCTACACTTGGGCATGGAAAATTTGCCAATAATTTATTCATGCCTGATATTTTTTGCTCTCTGTGTTTATTTGTTTTCGGTTTGATAGCTGATGTTTTATACCACGATTTTTTTATTTTTTATTTTTTGGAAAAAAAGAGTGAATATTTTGAATGGGTTAAAAATCAAACAATCATAACAATTCTTTTGTCAGAGTAGCAGAGCCACCACATGTTTGGAGCCATGAAGGTAAAAACAAAGGGAAATGAAAATGCCATGCACTACAATGTTATGTTAGTGTGATGCATCTATCTCTCTCTCTCTCTCTCTGAGTATTAAAATGAACAAAATAGCTTTAAAAGACCAAAATTCGGAGAGGAAATATATGCGAGTTGAGATCTTTTCTTGAGTTCTCTTTTTACCTCCTTACTTGTAATTATGGAGATACATTTTGAGTTGATCCAACAGTTTTGATTTGACTATTTAAAAATAAAAAAATAATAAAACAAATTCAAATTTATTTTTTTCTCTTAAATCTAAAATTGTTGGATCAACTCAAGATATATCTCTACCATTGTAAGTAGGGAAATAACGAGAGAGTTCAAGAAGAGGATCTCAACTCGATATATGCAACAGCACCAATGCAAAGGCATTCAATACTCTATTTGACACCTCACTCATCAGTTACTTACAGAAGGTGCCTTGAATGACAGTTATGTACCAAACCACCTTCTGTCTAATTTGGATTTCAATTCGGATTTTAAAAAAAAAATTTAATTCAAAAAATTTCAAAAAAGAAAAAGAAGTCATAATATAAAATTTTCAAGTCCATCACGATTTACAATTAGAGTTGTATATGTTTTTTATGGAAAAAAAAGTTGAACTTTATTTATTTTAATACAAAGTACATCCCGTGTGGGTATAGTATTAAATTATATGCATCTTTAGTTTCTAGTTGGGTAAAGTACACTTTGTTTCCTTTTTGCCCAAATCAAGTTTGTTTTTTCTCATTTTTGATCTTCATATTTCAAGCTTTTTTCAATTTATTTTTGAAACTAACTTCTATTTGAAATTAGATAAAAAAATGTCATGTTAACTCACATAACATAAATAAGGATTATATATAATAAAATATTTTTATGTAATGTGACGCATTATTTTTCTTATAATTTTGAACATAAATGAATTTTTGAAGCAAATTTAAGAAAGAAAAAAAAAAAACCTTAAAACTCTTTATCTATCCACTAGTGTCCCATATGCATTTAGCAGGGTGTCCAAAATATTCCTAGCCCTTGAACTTTTAAGAGATTTTTGGGATTAGGTGGTGATGACAAGTGTCATATTCAGAGCCTTATAACTATATTTCAAATCAAAACTCTTTATCTATCTAAACCCTAGTCCTGTTCTCCCTCCAAACCAAACCGTTCACATTCACCATCCATCTCTCTGTTTCCCTCTTCCTCACTCCAACTCCCACATCTTCTCTCTCTCTCTACTGCTACCATGGTGGTAGCAGAGTTGTCTCCTTCATACACCAAAACGAGCCTTCACTCTTCACAGCTCTCATTCTTCTCATCTCGTCTCTCCGATCACCGACGCATCTCTCTCCCTCGCCCTCAAAATGGAAGAAGAGTAGTTTGCTCTGTTGCATCCAAGTCAGTTTCCTCTCTCTGTCTCTCTGTCTCTCTCTCAATTCACTCAAATTACTTACTTGAAATTTTGTGGCTTATTCTAATGATCTGAACCTTGTTTTGGTTTTTGTTTTTGTTTTTTCATAGTCAAGTTCAAGCTCCTTCCCCTGTCCAAACCGAAGAAGCTAAGACGAAAGGCGATTGCTACGGCGTCTTCTGTCTCACATATGATCTCGAGGCTGTAACTTGTTCTCAACTTGCTTGATTTCACTTCTCAATTATTATTATTATTATTATTAAGTGTTTTGTGGTGCAAAGAATTGCATTGGTGGTGTTTGTTAACATTTGTAATCTAATATTTATCAATTGAGGGACACTCTTTTTGAATAATGTACAGTTGTCCTAAAAACTGATATTTAATTGTGCAACTTGTGATTTTTGAAATTAGTTAAATGTCAATTATCATTTTGTTCTGTAATGGAAAGAAGAATTGAGGTCATCTCATCCGTCAGGGTCGCTATACAGTAGTTAGTTTGTATAGCATTGCTCTTTTGCTTGTGTTTCCTTGTTGTTGAGTAATACTTCGTAAAATAAAAATAAAAATAATTTACATATAATGATGAGTTGTGGAGTGGATCTATCAAGATAGTTTTCATTATTGACTTATTAATTCATTTAAGTTTCGGGAGATTCTACCATTCTTTTTCACTAAATTTGTCAAAATCATTACCATTTTTGTTGCATGGTGTTGCTTCTGATCTTTTCTAGATATATCAACTTCAATGACTCTGCCATGACTTCATTTTTCAGATTCAATTTGATCTATGTATCATTTGAGCTGCCTTTTGTTTTGTTTTTCTTTTTTTATCCCTTATATTATATCTATATTTAACTGTTATAAAAAAAATTCAACCTTTGAATGATTTAATAATAAATGTGAGAGAATCCTTTATTTAATATTCCCTCTCCTTCTTGGCTACCTATGGGAATCAAATAGAGAGATCATTTTGCACTGTAGTTGTTGGCTGCAACCATCTTTGGGTGAATATAATTTTGAGGTTGCTTTCTAATTAGATTGATAGTGAATACTATGTTACACATTGTCCAGTTTTACATCTCACATAAATATTTGTGATCATGCACCTACAATGTTAAGTTTAATTATTGTTCTCCATGAAATTAAGATGTGAAGTATGTCTCCAAATCTGTCAATCTGATGCCAAAAAAATTGGGTTCACACTAGGTTTATGTTTCTGTGCATGTCATCATATGGTTTCTCTACTTTATGATATCAAACTATTGTTCTCATTTGTTCACAGGAGGAGGACGAGACAAAATCCTGGAAGAAACTGATTAATATTGCAGTCTCAGGTGCTGCTGGGATGATATCTAATCATCTACTTTTCAAAGTAAGGAAAACTTCTATTCTTTTACATTACTTGCCATTGGACGATTAAGGAGGAATTGATTACAAGATTGTGTATTATAAATTTGAAATCAAGGTTTAACCTAAGGAAGGAATATATAATATGACTGAGTTCACATATAAATGCCTCAGGAATTCACATTCAGCAAATGGTTCAACCTCATTGCACTACGAATGCTTTTTGATATACATTGGAAGTGACATAGTTCAATCACTGTTACCATATTTTTAGATGTAGAATGCCATTCTCCTGAATGAATTTATATTGAAAATGAAACCTTGATTTCAAATAACTGAACTTGCCCTCAAATTCTCTATTGGAAAATAACAAGTGGTTAAACCTTGCTACGACTGTATTCTGGTGCTTCAAATTCTCTATTGGAAAATACAAACAAAATGAACTCCATTCATGCAAAATCCATCCGTGCCCATATAACTCAAAAAGAAGATCAAGTGGTCAACAGTATGTAGGTCAAACTGACAGTTAGCAACATTACGTTATGTTCCAGTATAAATCTACACATCCTGATTAGTAAAATAGCATTATTGCATTCATGATTTTGTGCTTATTCCCAGTAAAACTGGTGAGATTTATATTTTCCCGTGCATTTTAGTATGTTTCAAACACGATGCCCTTCTTGTTTTGATGTGATGTGCCAGCTTGCATCTGGTGAGGTTTTTGGGCCAGATCAACCTATTGCATTGAAACTTTTAGGCTCCGAAAGGTCATTGCAAGCTCTAGAAGGTATGGTTCTTAACTGAGCATACTCGTTAGTTGTTGCTGTGCTGTCCTTTGAGCAGCGTACATATTAGGCAGTAAGCAGTTGAAGCATAATTCTACCATGAACAACGTTTGTTGGGGCTAATTGGACTTAAAAATGCTATATGTAGAAGTTAATCTTCCATGAACACTGCATATTAGGCAGTATCTAGTTGTTTTCTTTGCCGTCTTGAAAGATTTCAGGTTGAATCCCAACCCAAGTGTCAAGTTCTACTTACTATGAGTATTAATGCATGCAGGAGTTGCCATGGAACTAGAGGATTCGTTATTTCCTTTGTTGAGGGAAGTCAATATTGGCATAGATCCTTATGATGTGTTCCAAGATGTTGAATGGGCACTTCTGATTGGAGCAAAGCCTCGAGGTCCTGGAATGGAACGAGCTGGCTTATTAGACATAAATGGGCAGATTTTTGCTGAACAGGTACTTTTAGCATTTCATTGTTGGTTTAATTAAGTTTGTGTATTATGAGAGAGAGAGAGAGATATGTACTCTTTCTGCCACTGATCTTGGGACGAAACAACACAGGGAAAAGCTCTTAATGCAGTTGCATCACGTAATGTCAAGGTGATGGTAGTGGGCAACCCCTGCAACACCAAGTAAAAGATCTCAACTTTATCTTCAACACCTAAGTTATGTAGTTATTCTGATGTCTGTTGATGGTAGTTGTGTTAATCATTTTCACCCAGTGCATTGATTTGCTTGAAAAATGCTCCAAACATACCAGCAAAGAATTTTCATGCTTTGACTCGATTAGATGAGAATAGAGCAAAATGCCAGGTATAGTTGGTATTGTTCGGCACTTTAGTCATGTCATTCCAAATGAATATCAGGAAAGTTTTAAAAAAAAAAATATTTGGTTTTGTTTTTGTAGCTGGCCCTCAAAGCAGGTGTCTTCTATGACAAAGTGTCAAATGTGACTATCTGGGGAAACCACTCAACCACTCAGGTCATCGAACAGATTTTGTTGAAGAATTTGAATTTTGCTTGTGCCTGTATGCTCTCATTATCAGTGTTTGTTATGTAATTTTCTCAGGTTCCGGACTTTTTGAATGCTAGAATCAATGGCATACCTGTCAAAGAGGTTATTAAGGATACCAAGTGGTTGGAGGAAGAGTTCACCGAAAAGGTCCAGAATGTAAGTTAGGTGTAATCATAGATAACTACATAAACTAAAGTGGTTTTTAACTTCAATAACTAAAATATTCGAAAATGGAATTACAGAGAGGTGGTGTGCTTATTAAAAAGTGGGGAAGATCGTCAGCTGCATCAACCGCTGTTTCAATTGTTGATGCCATCAGATCTCTTGTGACTCCCACCCCCGAGGGTGATTGGTTTTCTTCTGGAGTAAGTTCATTTCCAATTGTTTTCTATGAGATGATTTTTGGGGTTAGTCGGCTAAATTGGCTTTTTGGCCTTCAATTAAATTGAAAGCAATCATTTTGTTGACAATAAACATATTTTTGCACCAAAAGAATAGGGTAATCCTGTCTTGCAACGAAAATATGAAAGAGCAATAGCTGAAAAGAGAAAGATATTCCATAGAAGTTGATGATGATCTTTTATTGCTAGTCTCACAGTTTCTACAACGCATATGTAGGTTTACACCAATGGGAATCCATATGGCATAGCAGAGGATCTTGTTTTCAGCATGCCATGCCGATCAAAAGTAAATAATTTATCAGACATTTTCTTTTGATACCATTTCCTGTCCCAATATAGTTAAACATCATCTCTCGAAATATGTTCGTACATTATTTTCAGGGCGATGGAGATTATGAACTTGTCAAAGATGTAATATTTGATGACTACCTTCTGAGGCGAGTTACCAAGGTACGTAAAATACATTTCAGTTTGTTAGGCGAGATACCACATAGCAATGGCTGACTTTCATTCATTTGGTTAATGCAAATGAGAATAGAATCGAGGCATAAAACTTTCTAATTGGAAATCCAATTGTGAAAGATTTCATTGCAATTGATAAAGTAGTAGTAAATGATAAGTAATACAATTGACTTCTAAACTACAATACGCGCCACAGAAAAAGCCTTTTGTGCTGTAGAAACACGATGGACATATCTCAAATATTAGTGTTAATCCGAATTATATTAAAGGACTTCTTCTACATTATTTTCCAAAGAGCCCTAGTTGTGATGAGCACTGTTATTATGCAGAGTGAAGCTGAGTTACTTGCTGAGAAGAGATGTGTGGCCCACCTCACAGGAGAGGTAAGCGCCTATGTTATCATACCATGAACTCCTTTGTTACGTTGATATTGTTGCCTGGTGGTTATTCATATATGTATATATGTTTCACTCTTTTTCAGGGTATCGCTGTCTGTGACCTACCCGAGGACACAATGCTTCCAGGAGAAGTGTAGAACTAATCAGACAAAACCTATTTGTCCAAAAATTTACCTGACAGCTATCACAGAGAAATCCTTGTTAAGAAAGCAATTAATGATATTGTATGCATTGAGTTTTGGCTGTTGTTCATCTAGAATGAGTGTGGCAATAAAGTTAGAAGGTAGTAATAAACTAGGCAATTTTAAGCCGTTATAGAGATTTTGAAGTTGTTATGGTAAAATAAATATTAAAAAAAAAAGTTGTAATGGTGTACAATTGATATGGCATGGAACTTGTAAGGTGATGATCCCAATTCTTTGTCCACCTTTGCCTGAACAGGTTGTGATCCGAGTCATCTATCTTCTGAATTTATACTAGTTTATTTTTGTACTTTCCCTAGTTTATTTTTGTACTCTGAATTATGTATGTATAAAACCAGCTGGTTTTGATTGATAACCTCTGTACATTTTTTGGAAAACATTTATCTGACAAAAATTAAAGGAAAACATTTATTTACAAAAAAAAGAAAAGAAAACATACTATTTAGACAAAATATTCAAAATAATATTTAGACAAGATACTTTCCTAATGAAAAATGCTATGAATCCTAAATAATCTATTAAATCTCACATGAAATGTAAAATTCACACAAACCTATGTGTGTAAATCATACAAGTGAGATTTGATAAAAAATTTAATAAATTATTTAAAATCCGCATAACTCTTTTCTAATTTTAAAAGGTGAAATGCTTTCAAAACTAGAATCACACTGCCAAGTCACCGCCTCCACCACCACCACAAGTGGCTTTTTGTGAACATTTATTTCACAACATTGAATTGAAACAAATCAAAACAGCTACAACCCTCGCAAACAATACAGAAAAATCCATTAAACTTAAATTTTCACCCACAATAAGCCATGTTTATAAATGATCAAGAAGTTGAAGTTTCAATATCGATGCAAACATGTCGAGCTTTAAACCAACTGCTTACTCTGGCCAATTCAGCTAGCCCAGAAATTTCACAAACAGCCAGCAACTACTGACCAAATGCAGTTAGTCATACGTTTACACGTGGAATAACAAAGCTTACAGTCACTGAACAATTATATCCCAAATTTGAGGACAATAATAATTAAATAACAAACAATCTTCTATCAGAGTATAAAGTCTATCCATCAAGTACCTCATGCTTAACCCACGTACTGTTTTGGGTATCATGAAGCATTGCCTGTGTATAAGCAAGTCCCGATTTTGTAACTCATTGACAGGAGGAGGACCCAAAAAAATATCAGATAGAACCAGCCCCGTGTCATTGAAGAACCCGCCTTGCCCAAAAGCATGCCCGACATTGGATCCAAACTGGCAGAAGTTGAATCATTGTATGAAATGCCAAAAGAAAGGATGATATTGACATCCGTATGCTTACCAAGCAGCGGGTATGTCCCATTGCCATTCAAGGTCATATTTCTTATTTGGATCATACCAGTGGTAAAATGGACTGAACTTGAAGAATGTGATGTAGAATTCAACCGAACCACTGCATCTTTTGAAGGGAACTCTGAAGCAAATGCAGGAGGAGCAGGGATGTTGCCCAACATGCGACTCGCGTGCTTGACAAATGGATACTGAGTATCTGCATCATTTGATAGTACATAAAAATCGAGGTGAATAGAGAGTAGCAAAAAAGTTAGGTAGTAATTTCCCACTTCAGAAGCTAGCAGTGCTATGCCAAACTTGAAACTAGAACATAAGTTCTTGTCCTTACCCGATCCAAATTTCCCAGGCTCTTGCTTTGAAGTTGACACAACATCATCATCATGTCCTTTTAAGAGCTGTTGGCTTCCCTCGTGCTGATGTAGTCATTAATTAATGGCATGCCTCAACAATTAGTAAATTACCACCACAGTCAACAGGGACAATTTAATTGAGTTGAAAGTGTTAAGATTACCTTTTGCGCAAGGGATGCGTGGCCAGAAACAAGGTCCACACTTCCTGTCATCTTCGAAGAATCAAAGGCCATAAACTGTGAGTTGCCGCCATCTGCATCAAAGTATGTACGGTAGTCTTCTAGCATGCCAAAACTAGAAGGATCTGCCTCAATGGGGTTTGACAGGTCATTAGTTTCCAGGAATAAGCCTTCATCAAATGGAGTGTTACTGATAGCATCCATGAATGGTTCATCGAGTAAGTAATCTACATCCACAGAATTTACAGCATTGCTTGGTTCACCAATATATTCATGCCTTACTGGTTTCGTGTCCATATTGGTTTGCGCTGGCAAATCAAATAACATTTGGTCATCAGGCTGCCCCGAAACACAGTAACTTTCATCCGTAGCCACCAAAAGTTTTTGAGCATCATCAACAAAGTCCACCGGCTCCTGGACCTGATTGCCATCATCCCCATAATAGAAGCTCAAAGGAAGGGGGACATCTTCTGCTGGAATTTCTGCATCAAGAATCTGGAAAACAAAAAAAGAAATCAATCTCCAAAATTTTAATAAACCATAATGAATTAAAAAAGGAAGCAGAGGGGGCACAGGAGCCTTAGATTTGTAATAAGTAGGCAAGGGGGCATTACAAGACAACAATAATCCTAAAAATAGCAAGAAGTAAATGATGACTTCATGGAAATGAATTATTATTGGACACCCTTCTGCCAATAAAGATTGTAACCAAGGTTCTGAAAAGCGGTTGTGGTGGCACGGTTGCAGTTGCGAAGTGTAAAGGCCGTAGCATAACAATTGCGGTAACCGGAACCGTGAATTTTTTTTTATTTTTCGCACAATTTGAAAAAAATTTACCGATATACATATTTTTTTCCCATAATCATATTTATTGTGTTTTAAAATAAATATTGATCAATTTTTGTAAATTTTTAAGTATGATCCAATATATTTCATATTTTTAAATCACTATAAACTGAGTTTTTTACATTTTATTTTAATAATTAATGACTTTATATTATACAAAAAATCAATCACTAACTATTATATATAAGATAAACAATGACAAAAGTAAGAGAATAAATAAGAGCCTAAATATATATATATATATATATTAACCAAGCCAAATAGAGCAAATTTTAACTTGAATAGTTTTAAAAAATAAATTATACATGCTAATGTAATCATATAAAAATTAAAAAATAAATTATAAAGATTTTTTGTTTTTTTTTTTGATTTGGATAACTTGAATATTCATTTTCTTTTTGGATAATCTGTAAATAAAAATAAAATAAACTAATCAAAAAAAATTGACAAGTATAAAATATGTATTAATATATAATTATAAGTGTTATGTTTTCTAGATATTTTACAAAAAAATTAATTACTAACTATTATATATAAGATAAACAATAACAAAAGTAAAAGAATAAATAAAAACACACACACACACACACACATATATATATATATATTTTAATCAAACTAAATAGATAATGACCACACTTATTATTATTATTATTATTATTATTACTTTCAAACAATATATACATAGACACACAAACAAAATGGTTGAGAATAGCAGTCGAATAAAATAACATAGGTTTTACAGTTTCAACAAATCAATAACATATTTTTCATCTTTCCTCTTCTCTCTCTCTTACTCCTCTATCTTCCCTCTTCTCTCTCTATCCCTCTTCCCCCATTTTTATTTTTTTATTTTTTATTTTTTTATTCTTTTATAATTTTTTTTGGAAAAAAACACAGTTCGGAACCGTTACGTAATGGTGCGTAATAGGCCATTACGGCACTGTTACAACCGTCTTTCCTCTTCTCTCTCTCTTACTCCTCTATCTTCCCTCTTCCCCCATTTTTATTTTTATTTTTATTTTTATTTTTTATTTATTTTTATTTTTTTATTCTTTTATATTTTTTTTCGAAAAAAAAAAACAGTTCGGAACCGTTACGTAATGGTGCGTAATAGGCCATTACGGCACTGTTACAACCGCTATGGCCGACACACCTGTAAATCTCAATCACACCGCAAGAGCGAGGGTAACACGTAGTGCCTACCACCGCAACCATTACGTAATGCTACATTTTGAAAGAGTATAACAGTGTCTAACAAATCCTTACTGCTGTTATGATACCTCTACGGCCATTATGAACACCGAAATGGTCGTTACACATGCGAATTGTTGTCACACTGCTATAGTGGTCGTAACGAGTGGCAGTAACTATCACAACCATTACGTAACGACGTTACGTAATGGTTGCGGCCGCTTTTTAAAACCTTGATTGTAACTGAACATGACAAAGTCATTAATTCAGTTTTAAAACAAAAGGCGAAACAAAGAGAAAAAGTTCAAGATTTCAGTCTTCAGATGATGCCCAAGCGCAATATACAAAAAATAGATGCTCAGCATGCAACATCCAACAATAGATTCACTTTGGTGAACATTATTAAAAAAAAAAAAAAAAAGGCTCACCTCTGTACGCCATATCAGTGGCATACAATTTTAAGGCTATGTTTGGATAAAAAAAAATAAAAAAAGAAGGGATGAGCACCTCACCAGGAATCACATTACTAGGATAAAAATTGTGTCAATGATATTCAATTGTTTGGTTTGGCTGGGAACTTTCTATGGAGAATGATAAAATTTTAAATATTGTGTGTCCATTTACCTTTTTTTTTCTACTCAAATGGTTCACATTCCTCCAAGAATGTGAGATTCCCACTGCAGTATGGGGATTAGATTTGTGCTCAATTTAAGAAGGGTGTCCAATTCCAATCTGTTCTAAATGTTGGAATTATAGAAATCAATAATCACTTTCGCATTCCCTCTCAAGATTCCCATTATCATCCAAGTTAGCCAACCAAGTAACCTTCCGGAATAGGGGACCCTCACTGGCAACAATATGGTAGTAAAATGGTTTTATTGTACTTTTATTTTGATAATTAAATTAAATTAAATATTATTGAAAGGTGCCAACAGGGCGAGCGGCTGAAGTTTGATAACCAGCCCACGTCTATTTATGATCCCTTGCGGATGGGAATCCATATATTACCAACCATATTTAATGTGTAGGTAAGGAAGAGGCACTGAACCAACACGGTAACAGTCAGCACAATCTAGCAGCCAATCTTGATCACCATAGACAATGGGAGAACCCCAGCAATAAAAACACCATATAGACCGAGGCAAAGCATTAAGGTGTTGCATTCCTTAGAGATCATAAGCTCAAAATGTCGAGAAAACACGGTTATTTTCTTATACAAAATACCAATCATTAGGAATTAAGTAGCAGTTTTATTGCCAGCTGGTCATTTACTTCTAAATTTTCAGCAAGTCCTACAAAAGTCGCACATTAATATTAGGTCTAAACTATTTTTATCGCAAAAAAGCATAACTCTCCACAATTCATGTAAGCTGGTAACACTTCAGTTCAAATGGGAAATTAATAGTTAAAATCTAATTATAAAATCATTTGATACTCTTCTCAATCCTCACTTTCCTAATTGATTTGCAATTAAACTTGACAAAACTATCAATTGCAATGCAACATAACAATTTAGATTGCAGGTGAATGCATGTATGTACATGAGTGGAGAGTGGGAATCGGAGGTGTTGTAGTTTCTTAAATACAAAGTATACTGAGAATGATCACAAACCTGCTCAAGGTCAATTCCATCGAGATAGGCATCATCACTAACTGCCACTTCCTCAGCAGCCTGCTCGCTAGGAACCGTGACCAACTCATCATCCTCCCATTCCTCCTCCACAAATGGCGCCCCATACTGCTCCCCGTTCTTTGGTCCTGTACCACTCTTCTGAAATATTCTGCATAACACAAATGCATCCTTCTCGACCCAAAACAAAAAAACAAAGAAACAAAAAAATATCCATTAGATCGCAGAACCAAAATTCATAACAGTTTGTGTTAATTGCTCCACCTATTAGAACTTACGTTTCTATCCCACGATTTTTGTTCATTTTGACTCCCATTTATTCACATGCACCAAATGAATTATGCCAAAAATTCAGTTTTCTGGGCCTTTAAAACAGAAACATTTCTAGAAAACAAATCCATTCAGCCATTTCTGATACCTGGATTTCATTTTATACACAATTACAAAATTCTCACCTGAAAAATTCCAGAGTTCTCCAACTGCTCATCAACAAGCCTGTACTCATGCATAACCCAATTACTCCTCTCGCCCCGTGGAGCCCGACCGCTGTGATAAACAAGAGTTTTCTTCATCCCAACCGTCCGCGAATTGTGAAGTACCGGCCGGTCCTTCCCCGTCGTCTTCCAGTACCCTCTTTCAGTAGCTCTGTTTGTCCTTGACCCATTCCCATACTTCTTATCTAGCATACTAAAAAAGTACCACTCCAAGTCCCTGCTCTTCAGCCTTGACTTCCCTAATACCCCAAAAATCACCAAATTTTCATTATAAGAATAATATCCAAATAAATAAATATAAGCCAATTTGGTAACCTCAATCCCCGTAATTGACCTAACAAGTTCATAAGTAAAGGGTGAAAAAGAGTGGAGAAGATAGAGATGGCCCTAAACCCCATATCATACCAAACAATTCACCAATCAAAAACTCTAATCGAAGAAATCCCAAAATTGACATAACAAATTCAGGAGTAAAACCCCAAACAAGAAGGTGTAATGAGTGAAAAAAAGAGAGATGACCCAAAACCCCATAACACACCAAACAATTCACCAATCAAAAACCCTAATTCAAATTGAGAAACAAACCAAAACCCAGAATTTTCAGAAATCTGGAGAGAGAAACTTGTAAATAAAAGACATTACGTAGAGAGAGAGAGAGAGGGGGGTGAAAAGACCTGGGAGATCCCAAGGCTCAGACTTGTAGATGTCGATTTCAGAGATGGCGTCGAATCTGAAGGGCTTTCCACAGACCTTTCGCCTCAGGTAGTATCGAACCAGTTCTTCATCGGTTGGATGGAACCGAAACCCAGGAGCGAGCGAAGCCGATGCCGGATCGGGACCCATGTGCGTGCTATTCAGAGTTTTTCAGAGAGAGAAAATTAGGGTTTTGTAGAGAGAGAAAGTGATTGAATTTCTAGAGAGAGAGAGAGTTCGACCGTAGGGTTTTGAAGAAAGCCATCCCTTCATCAGTCTACGGAGCTTCGACGACTACGTAAAGATGTTATTAAAAACTATTGAGGTAAGTGGGGTTACTATTGGATTACCTGCAGGTTAGTAAATTTGTCATCGATGGATACGTGGCAGGATTAGAGGGGTAGAGGTTTATGTGGGACCCCTTTTTGTGGGTCACGTTTGTTGCGGAAGGTTCTAGATGTGTCTATTACCAGAGGTTGTTTGGGGTTTTTGGGTCTTGATGTGGTTGTACGTTGCTCTGGCAATAGAATTGGACGATGAGGGGATCGAACCAGGAGTGCTACGTGGGTTGAGGTTGGATGAACTGGTGTGGTGGTGACGCATGTACGTCCGTCAAAAATAAAGGACGTGTGTGGTTTGCTTTTGAATGAGTGATTTTTTTTAAAAAAAAAATCAGGAAGAGAGTTTAGAATTTTTTTTGATTTGTTTGATTATATATTTTGAAAGTAGTTTAAGAGTTTGAGATTATTTAATATTTTGTTACAATTGAGTAGATGTGTATGAGAGAAAAAATGATTGAGAATGAGAGAGGATAGAGAAAAAGTGATTGATTGATGCGTAAGAGAGAGGAAGTGGTTTTAAATTTTTTTTGAGAAAAATCACGAACCAAACAAAATTTTAGAAAAAAAAATTCAAAAACAACTCTCTCAAAAACAAACCAAACAAACCCGTCTTTTTTTTTTTTTGTTGGTAAATAACAGTTTGACCCATGGTTTACCTTAAATATACGAAAAATCCTGTAATTTTATTTTTAACACTTAAATTTTTTAGACTTTATATTATATTGTAATTTTTGACGAACGTAATAGAATTGTACCAAACAATGTCGTTTTATGCACCGCCTGATTAAAAAAAAAAAAAAAAAAAACTAAAATTAAATCAAAAGTAGAGAGAAAAAAAATAAAAGTTAGAGCAAGAGATTGCAACAAGAGAGAGACAAACAACTCTCCCTTTCCCTCCAATGGCCAAAACCAAATACTCAACAAAATTCACCAAGAAAAATAAAAAAAAACAGGCCTGACAATGCCCAAAAATCACAAAAACCACTAGCTTGGTAAGTTGCAAGGAGCCTCCTTACTTGCAAATACCTCCAAACCTAACCAAAATATATGTATATACCCAGAAAAAACTACATCCACTAATGATTCCAATTAATTCACAGTACTAATCAATGCCTACTATCACAAATGTAAGAGAAAGCACAAATGAATCTTGTGGGTACTCATAGAAAATCACCAAAGCGAAACAAATGGTTTCATTTCAGAAGTTGCAAATATGGAAATTATGGTGGGAAAGATCAAATTTTTTGAAATTTTCTGTTTATTGTCACCAATTGTCACCCAATGATGAATCCATTGTCTATCAAATTCACTAATAACTACCAAATTATATGTATACGTAGGAGCCAAAAAATATATATATCAGCTTATTGGGCTAACCTAAACAAGGCCTAACAATGGGTCCAATCCAAACAAGGAAGCCCATACGACAAATATCACACCCTCTATTTATAAAAGGAGGGCAACCCGAGGAATAGAGGTATGATCTCTCTCTCTCTCTCTGTGTAACAGAATACACTCACACACCCCTTCATTTTTACATATTCTTTCCTTGATTCAATGACTAACTTTATCATCGGAGTGTCCCCGGCCAATAACCCGGTTGGGTGGCGCCGACTATGTCCATTCTTGCAGATCTACAGGGACTAAGTTCTTCTCTTCGTTTGATCTCTTCAATAATCCGTGTGACATGATTTTTCTGGGTCTCACAATTGGCACCGTCTATGGGAATCATCTAAAAGAGTTCAACGAAGTAAATAGCAACATGTTATTGTAAGTAAAAATTCAATGACACTTTTGATCTGTTTGCTCTTTGATTAAACTTATTCTAAAATTGGTTCTTGAATTGGATATACATATGCTTGTGCTTATAAACTCAGTGCAAACTTTTGTTCATTGCGAATCTTGATGAACTAGTTTTAATACAACATAGAATTTCTAGATCTACTTTTGCGTCTTGATTTTCTCTTTCTAAAACTGGGTTGTACATTCTTCTTTATAAAAGTAGCTTTTCGGTAATAAAACCCAGGTTGTTTGGCTGAACCCACAATTGGGTCTTTATTTATTGTCTCACAAAACTTATTTTAAAGTTGTTTTTTGGCATGTATATACATATGTGCTCATAAATTGTGTGAAAATCACTGTTGATTGTCAATATTGATTAAAAAGCAAAAGGTGGAAAAGCAAGACAGACTATAGATCTATAACTAGGTCTATACTTTCTCTCTAGAATTCAACAACCATGCTTTGAAGCTTCTACGACAATATCCTCTTTTTAGGAAGCTATTTGGCTCATTCGTAGGTAATACCATGCACTCATACATCGGCAATTATAGTTCTCAAGAATGGAACCGAACTACATCATCGAGCTCAACAGACCCATGCACGGTCATTCAACTGCCGTAAATAGCTAAACGGCCAAAATTGCCAAACTTTCAGCAAAGTCAAATTCATCTTGCCGAGTTGCCGACCAAAGATCCATGCTTGCAATGGCTCGTTTCAGTAAACCAAGGAAGTTGCCAAGTTGGTGACCAAGTGTTTCGGCAACCCAAACGATCGAGGAGTTACCAATTATTCACCGCTGAGTGCGAATTCAATGCCCATTGTGAGCCTCGCCAAGCACGCTCCTCCGCCGAGCACATTTTGCCCCAAGCACCTTTTGCTGAACAATACCCATAACAAAAAATAAACAAATCAATAAAATAAAATATAACAGCCTGGAGGAAACCAATTACCCGAGTTCCATTTACGCTCCATCCATCTCGGCAACGAAAAGCTTGCTCGGTAACACACACCATGTCTTCACCACTTATATTTCACAGCGGTATAAAATTATATGGTCTCACGTAACTCGACCAAATGGAAACGGTAGCACAAAGCAACTACAATTCAGTCACTAAGAATAATATTTCACACTTAAGCATGGCTACTTACCAACTCGAACTCGATAACTAGCTCTATTCGACATTGAGACAACACAACACGCGAGTGCCTCTTAACTACACAGTGGCTAAACTCGACATCACCACTGGTCAGCTCGCTGCTGCTCGTTCCTCTTCCTCAGCAATAGTGGAAGCATCAAAATTTGCCTTTGATAGTTGTTCGGCGAACCCATGCATGGAAGCATCAAATTTGCCTTTGCTATACCATCCCCTCTCCGGTGAAACTGAAGCATAATCGAAATGACCATTTCGAAAATTCTTGTTTCATTATCTACATCAAATCGGCTTAACAACATTATTTGGCAACATTGCTTATTTGGTTAACATTGCTTACTCAGCAACATTACTCGAACACACATAAGTCATTCGACTACCAACTTATTGAAATCACACAGCCGCTCAACTGTTTTTGGACGCATGGGACCACAACTTCATCGCCACGTTCATCGGCAATAATAATTGTCACAAACGGTGCAAGTATCTATCCTATGTTGGCTACTACCGTGATGCCGAGAACAAATTTAGTCGTTCTCTTTTTTGGAGTCACATCTCAGCAACATGCTCCACAACATTGGACATTCTCGGAACAAACACTATATATATTAATCCATCTACCTTTTCAGTATGAATCTCATGATATATATAGCAATATTGCTCGGCACTTCTCTCTCGATATAGAACTAGCATCTCGACTTATCGAAATCAACATCTGAATATACCAGAGGATTCCTGTCAACTCAAAGAGTCCAAACCCATCAACCCGAGAAACTAAAAGGTCACCAAACCAAATTTGCATCAAACTAAAATTTTCAAAGTTGTCTAAATCAAGTTTTGACCGTACCAGTGTAAAGTACTCATTGAGACGAGTCCAACACAACAAACCGCGTCGAAATCGGAGCTAAAACGAAACCGTACAAGCCAATCAAAGTTTCTCCTGACATATAACTATTTCGCCAAAAAAGACGACCCAAAGTTGGCATACATAAGAAATTATTCAGTGCATTGTGACTGAGTTACATCCAGTAATAACTGAACCATAATCAAGTTCAAATATTTATCTTGCAACATATAAACAAAGAGATCTGTGGTGACAAAGTGGTTAAGTTTTATTCTTTTAAGGGTGTGAGTTTAAACCTTGTCGACAGTAACTTTATTTAACTTTTTTCCAAGTCGCCGAGACGAGTTGTCCAACTGAGCATATTTCAAAGAAATTACCCAATGCTTCATGGAGCACAAGTCTCGGACGAGCTGTCCAACTTAGCATAGTTCAGAGAAATTATCCAGTGTTTCATGGGGCATAAGTCTTCACCGATCTGAGTTGTCAGAACCATTTTGGCTAAAACGACACCATTAGGAGTCCGATTACAACAATCCAATAGTCGTTTCCAACTATTTGGAGCCTTCTGAACACATCTGTATAGTCTGATTTTACAAATTCCATACCAACAATTTGCTGATTTTATCTACAGTGTCACATATCGCAGCTCAAACAACATCTTTGTTGACACCCCTAGAGTTTGATCAATGCCGAATTCAACCACTAAAACATTTGGCGCCTTCCTACTTATATCACAACGCCGACCTTGCCCGAAACATGGCAGACCGATCCTCAACAATGTTGGACAATTTGTCATCAGCTTCATTCTCGGCACTTTGGGCCCATGTCCAATCTGCATTCCTTTCGACTAATAATTGTCATTCAAAAGCAATGGGGCAAGTATACATTAGACAAAACACAAAAATAGTAACTTAACAAATTTGCTTTCAATATCCACTGAACAGTTCTTTACAATGGCGCAATGCTATATTTTAATGCTTTACAATTGGTGTCAATTTTCCAGCTTTCCACTTATTTGTGATCACCAATTCTACATCATTTGGTACAAGCAATCAATGACATGGAATTCACTATTCAATATCCTTGCAATTTCTGTAATTGAAGCAAAAGTCTCCCAATGTAGAGCAAGAAAGCCTCCGAATACGGAGCGCCCTCTGTGCTCAGCACGGAGCGCCATTAGCAAAA